AGCCCTTCAGTTCTACTCAACCGAAGGGGTTCCTGGACCAAAGCTAGCCGAAGGATCAGCCGAAGCTATGGCTAGATCCTTCGGCAGCTTTGTGAATAACCCCCATAGTACTATGTGTCCCCAGTTATAAATGAACAGGCTGTGAAAGTTCCCTTCCAATGGCAACCCCGGTCCCTCACCTATCTAGGCATCTCCATCCCGTCTAACTTATCGGATCTTTTCCAACTAAACTATTTAGCCCTCCTGACACCCTAAAGATGGAGACCCTACCAAAACTTCTATACCTTTTCTAAACTATTCCTAAAGGCCACCCGAAACATTTTGTTAGTACTTTACGCTCCATGGTAAATCGTTTTATGTGGCAAAAGGGCTATTCCCGTTTTCAATATAAAACTCTATGCAGACACAAATCCCAGGGTGGGGTGGGCCTGCCCGACTTTGAGATATACCATAAGGCCGCTCTCCTATCCAGAATCTTAGATTGGTTCCCACCTCCCTCGTCACAACCCAAACCATCGGTGCTGATTGAACAGGACCTGAGTCCGGTAGATCTTAGAGCCCTGCCATGGAATCCTCCCAGTGAATCTGCTGTGTTCCCTCCCCCCTCCCCCCTTACGATTGCAACTTTGAAATAATGGCATGGTACTTACCACGCTCATTCTCTCACCACTATGACTAGTCCTCTCTTCCCTTTATTTGACAACTCTCTGTTGTCAAATAAACTCTATTCCCCACTAGTGTGTTGAAAGGATTAAAATAGAACTATGAGGTGAGTGCTTTTCACTCACCTCATAGTTCTAGCCGACCTGTGACAATGAGACTGTCACAGGTCGGCTCAGTAGACCGGGAGGTGAGCGAACACATACCGGAGCTCGCTCACCTCTCGATCCTGTCACGGCTCTCTGCCGTGACAGAGGAGGGGCTGGATTCCCCCCTCCTATCCGCCAGCGCTGACTGGCGGAACGGACAGGGGAGGGTACAGCTTGCTCTGCCTCTGCCCAGTCACGCAGCTGGGAGGATCCCGGCATAATTGTCGGGATCCGCTTCAGCTGCGGCGTCTCAGTATACCGCGAGCAGCAGCTCGTGGTATACTGAGCCTAGGGTGACGGGAGAACGCTACTTTGTGTTATCCCGTTACCCTAAGGAGAACTATGGGGAAAAGCCTTAACCCCATAGTTCTCCTTTAAGGGTCACTGGAGAGGGAGTAATCTCATGAGGGAACTCAATAAATGAACTCAAATGGGAACATTAGGAAACTCAAAGAAACAAGATGGATATATGAAATGGATTGTTTACATCTAAATTGGTAAAGTAAACGGTTTACGCGTTTCTGGGGCACGCCCCCTTCATCAGGGTTTCTAGGGGAAACGCCCCCTTCATCAGGGACCTGATGAAGGGGACGTGCCCCAGAAACGCGTAAACCGTTTACCAACACAGGGATCGAGGTTACTGGTGTTTTACATCGCTCCAGATTCTCCCTGCCAGGGGTTCGGTCCTCTCACCTTATTCTACTGGTTTTTATTCTACCCAACTGTTGCAAGTACAGCCTTAGAGCTGCGTGTTTTTACTATTAAATAACATTTTTACACTATGGAGGCGCTCTCTTTTGTTCCTTAACTCCACTTTTGTTGAGAAAAAAAAATCCAATCCACTCTGGGCAATCAGTGTACATTGCAAGGGTTTTAACAAACTTTGTTGCAGTTTCCTAACACTTTCTCTTGTTTCCAAACGGATTCCTGGGTCCATAATAATTGGCTGGTGGGCTTCCTGTGTTGTCTGCATCCCTTTAGTAGTAATTAACTCTTAAGGAGGGTTAGAGATCTCATCAAAAATGAAAATCCTATTGCAAGGGATGCCTAAAATTTAGGGCTGGTAATGATTAAAATGTTCGTGTTCGATTAATCGAAAATTGTTTTAATCGATTAATTTTGATTATAACACACATACAGATCCAACTACATTGGCCTATACACATACAGCACAGCAATGAAGTAATAAAATGAACTAGGATCACACTACTCCAGCACGTTAATAATCTCACGTGCCCCACTCAATATGGCCGCCGCTTGAGTGGCAACTGAGAATAATAACGTGCTGGATTAGTGTGATCCTAGTTCATTTTATTTCTTCATTGCTGTGCTCTATGTGTATAGGCCAATGCCTTGGCTGGCGCTCGTGCAGAAAGTTTTTTTAAAAATGCAAAAAAATCGATTAAAAAAAATGTCATCGATCAAAAAGATTAACGATTAATCGAGAAATTAATCGTTAATTTGCACAGCCCTACTAAAATTGTATCTTACTGCAAATGTCTGGAAACATAAAAGTCTGCCAATCACAGACACAGAAAGTGACAGAATGCCTTCAGGTCGCCATACTGCATTGTTTTGTTTTAAGATTTAGCACATTACAGCGGTTAATGTTTTAAATGGAAAGGTAATTTTTAACATTAAAATTACAAAATGGCTTTTGCAACAACTACATATGGTTTATTCATTTATATTTTTTAAATTGGAGTTACCCTATTACATATTGTATGGAAAGAAATGGGGATGCATGACAGTAGATTTTTACATTTAGAATGGGTTAGAGTGATAGTTATAAATTTGCAGGGCTTGAAAAATCCACTCGTCTGTGACGAGAGGACGGTGGAGCCCGACGAGCAGCTTCCCGGCCGGCCGTTGTAGTTGTATGCTTTACATTCAAGCATACGGGCATCTCTGGAGACGCTCGATCGCTTGTATTAGCAGCTGTCACTGCCGGTCCCAAAATCCGTTGTGCCCGATGCGGCCAGGACCGGCACGGCTCTGTGACAGGAGTTCAAAAGGGAGTTCAGTATACAATCTCTCTTTGAACTCCTCTCAGTCCCCGAATGCAGCAAGTGATGTATATTACATCACTTGCTGCATTCAGTCTCACTCTCCAGCTACAGAAGCTGATGAAGCAGATCTCTGCTTCATCAGCTTCTCTGGGGGTCCCTAGGTGACATTAGGGGTATTGGAGACCCCTGATGACTCCATAAAGAGGACCTGTCATGTAAATTGGCTATCACATAGGGGGCTTCTTAGCCCCCCATGTAATAGCAATAAAGTTGTGTGTAAAAAAAAAAAAAAAGTAATAAAAAAATTAAAGAATCATAAAAAAAATAAAGCATAAAAAATAAACAATTTTTTAAAGTCCCTGCTCCCCACATACACACGCACATATGTGTCGGGTGCGCCTACATGCGAAAACGACGCACGTTACATATCGCCACAAACGTCGGAGTGAGAGCAATAATTTTAGAGCCATTAATCACTGATAATACTAAACTGATGAGCAGTAAAAGTGTTTTAAGCGTCGCCTATGGGCGTTTATTGTGATTTTGCGGGCGCACGCAAGGCTTGACATGTTTGGTGTCTATTTACCCGACGTGACCCTGACTTTTATGTTTTAACAAAAATATGGGTAAGAATAAATATTTTATAACATAACGTAGGGAAACGTTGTTTTTTACATTTACGGTACTTTTTTCATTGTATTAGTAAACCCCCCCAGTGGCGATTATATACCTCCAAAAGAAAGCTCTATCTGTCCCAAAAAATGTTAACATAAATTGCAAGGCTATAGTCCGGTCATGCTGACTGGTGACATTTTTGACTGACTGGTGAGACACCCTAAAATTTTTCAAGCCCTGTAAATTTGTTTTTAAAAAAGTCTTCTTTCCTGTATATATCATATTGACGTTTTAACCACTTGCTGCGGACGGCCGGACACAGAAGTGGTTATGCCAAGAACACAGCTGCTGCTGCAGCCATGTTCTTGGTGCCATTTTAAACAGCCAACGCATCGTTTGTACCGATCGGCGGCTTCCCTAGGCTACGCTGTCCCCTGTGCGGGCCCGGGACCGGCACGGCGGGTCTTCCCGCAACAATCAGAGAGAGATCAGCAGGCTTCCAGCCGCTGATCCCTCCTCCGATCACTGGACTCGGAAGTGATGTGTATTGTGGAGCCAGGAGAATAAGCTTGGGAAGCAGATCCGTTTCTTTGGGGTCCCTAGGTGACATTAGGGGTCTGAAAGACCCCTAATGTCAGCACAAAGAGGACCTGTCACACCCTCTTTTCTATTACATAGGGGGCTTGTTAGCCCCCTGTGTGATAACAAAGTTAGTGTAAAAAATTATTTAAAAAAATGAAAGTAACATATAAAAAAAACTTTAAAAAGGGGGTGTGGCTAGCTGCCGGGAAAGATGGCTGTAAGATGGCACCAACCGACCCCTGTAGAACATTCATATGCTTTCAGCATCCCTGTGCCAGCTTGCCTGCAAGTGTGACCCCTCGCCATCACCCCGCACGAACATCAGACGAAATGACAGGTGGCAAGAAAGGTAAGGAGCAGCGGCAGGTCCCGTCGCATACTCCGCGTGGATCCAAGATGGCGGACGCACAAAGCACTATAGAGGAGCAGGGCTCTCCACAACACTCTCCTGAGGTATTTGACTCCTCTTCTATGGATAGCCACCCCATGCAGCAAGGGGACACCTCTATTAGCAACCCGAGACTCTGCTTTATTAGACAAGTTTCGCTTACAAACAGAGCTCAATTCTGCTACTGACAAATTGACTGCAACTCTCACTAAGGAGATAAGAGATATAGGTGCCCGAACTGACATATTACAAAGAAAAATGGATGTTGTAATTACACTAGTAGATTCCCATAAAAGGGAAATGGAATCTATGTCCACTAATCTCAATGCTGCATTGGATAAGCTAGAAGACCTTGAGAATCGAGCTAGGAGAGGAAACTTGCGTGTCAGAGGCCAAAAGCAGGAATAGCATTAAAACCACTAGAATGAGTCAATTTGAGCTCTCAGGCCACCATCGGTTCGCTCTATGTAGGGGGTTGACTGTGGGTGGTCCCGTGTTACCAGAGCGACGGCGGGCCAAACACTAATGCGCAGGCGCAAGGTTTTTGCGCATGCGCAGTTGAGGTCCACACCGCGGACGGGCGTCCAAACACACTCAGGTGTGGGGCGTCAAGTCCGCGGTGGGGGCCACATAAGAGGGGATGATGGGAGGGACGGACATTGGAGGCGAGCCGCAGATGCGAGGAGTTAGGATTAGAGCAGCATAAAAGCAGACGGACGTGACATACAGGCTACATACTCTGGATTGTCCTGACTTGAAAACAACAGGTATGTGGATAATGTGTAGATAATGGAGGGACGGATAACAGGATAATAATGCCAGCAATGATAAATTACCTATAATATGAAAAGTGGAGCTACATATATGGACGACATTTTACTGGGAGGGGAGGGGGGGAGTTTTGGGTGCACTAATGAAGTTTGGTTGGCCTTGTGAGGCATTATGTGTGGAGGGGGGAGGGCTAATAGAATGATGAGGATATGAACGACGGGCACCTGATTGGGGAGCAAGTAATAGAGATTTTTTCTTCCCTTTACAAATAAGTTTGTTTCACATAAAAACCTAAGAATAAAACTAACATATCACTTAGAAGTGGATGTATGCTTCGTCCACTCTACGAGTAATTTTCACTCAATTCACTATTATGATCATGGTGACACTACACACTTACAGTAATACATATAAACAGATAGGGATGGAACACTAGATGGGGTTTATCACCCCTCCTCTTTATTTAGGAACTTTCAAACACAATGAGTCACTGCAATAAAACACCCTTTTTTTTTTTTTGGTGTGCCAC